GGGGCTCAGCTCGAGGATGTTCTCTGGCTGTGGGGGCCACCGGGGCTCCCCAGGTGAGTGACACATGGAACCCTCAGATGCAGGGCTGGGCTCAGGGGAGGGTGGAGGGGGTGCAAAGGGTGCCTGGCCCCCAAAATGGGCATGCACTGGGCGGGCAGGGCTGTGACACCCCAGGAAAGGTCCCTGTGCACAAAGGGGCAGAGGCCAGAGAGAACACTAACCAGAGACCCAGGGCCCACCAGTCCCAAACCGCAGGGACAGGGGGTGGCAGCAGGACAGGGCTGACCTCAGAGACCCCATCACTTCCCAGCATCGCATCCTGGGGTGCCTGGAGCCGACACAGCCCTGGCCCCCAGGAAAGCTCCCGGCGGGGCCGATGCTCCAAGCAGCTCCTGCGAGCGCTGCAGGGCCGTGCAGGGGAAAGAGCAGGAGTGCGCTCGGCAGCTCCGCGCTGTGCGGGGAACTTTACAGAGCGCGGCCGAGCCTCAGCACAGGAACCGCCTGGGAGCGGCCGGGAAAGAGCAGCCCGTGGGCTGTGAGCCGGGGGAGCCGGCTGCCGTTCAGCGCTTGATGAAAACGCACGCCCAGAGCCAGCGCCCGGGGAAGCCGACGCCGAAGGAAAACTCCAGCAGCAGGAAATGAGCTTCAGCCAGGCAGGGCCCAGGGCTCAGCCCAGTCCTGGGTGCAGCGGAGCCCCAGGTCCAAAGCCAGGGGTGACCCACGAGTGATGGCAGGAACCGGGGCCAGGAGGGGGGGCGAGCAGCCAGATGAACACCCAACCCGTGCGAAATGAGGCGCTGTCTGTGCCCCCCAGGCAGATTTGACTCATTTCTATTAAATCAACGTGAAAGAAGGGGAAGTTGCATGGCAAAATCCAGATTATCCAGGGTGCGAGCAAGGAGGGGATCGACCAGGGGGTCCCTGCCCGCAGAAATGGAACCCGAGAGGCCACCTGCCCCCAGTGAAGAGATTGTCCTGGAAGGCGTTAAAGTGCCTGAATCACTGCAGCCCCACCACACAGACCCACGGGGATCGAGGGCCTCGTCCCCTCCCCGGGCCGCAGCCACCCAAGGGGCACAGCCACTGGGGAGGACCTGAGCAGGGAGAAAGGGGAGGGGAGACGGCGCCGGGCAAAACTCCCCTGCGTTCACCTTGGGAAGTCTGCAAGGAGACGCCTCATCCCGCTGTCTGCATTCAGCTGGCAAAGCTCATTAACAAAGGCGGCCTTTCCCTGCCCTTTTCAGAGCGGGAAACTCAGGGCTCTTCCCCGACAAAAAGCAAAGGTGACTCAAGCGCCGAAGCGCCGGAGGAGCAGGTACAGCAGCCCTCCAAGCCCGGCTGCAGCCGTGCCCAGCGCCAGCCGTGCCCAGAGGAAATGCAGAGACTCCTCCAGGCGGGCGTGCAGCCTCAGGACCTGCCCGCGCGGGCGCC